ATAATCCAACGAAAATAAATAATTGGTACATAACAGCTTTCTTGTATGCAAAGAAAATAATTAAAAATGTTAAAAAAGAGATGTCGACACAAAATTACATAGCCCCTTCAATTCAGAAGATACTACAAACGAACTGTACCTTAACATTTTCATATCCCAGAAGCTAACGTTCCCATGACGAATATTGCTATCGCTAGCGATTGCAAAATCCAACTTGTTTTTTTTTCTAAAATTGTTTTTGTTCTTAAATTAGGCGTGATCGAGGCTCTCGATGACTCCGTCGGTGCAGTTGTGGAAGCTCTAGATACGCAGAATATGTTGGAGAACAGCATCATCATATTCATCTCTGATAATGGTGGTATGAGCGCTGCGCCGACGCGGGAACATCAGAACACTGGATCAAATTGGCCTCTTCGAGGAGTAAGTTCTTTGAATTTCTAGATTTTACACTGTGAAAAAAAGTTCGGTAAATCCGAACTAGTTTGGATCATATGGAACCACGATTTTGTTCGGTACACACAACCGAATTATTCGGTCTGTTCAACCGAATTGTTCGTTTTGTGCAACCGAACCATAATAAATTCTTACAGTTCGGTTCAGTGGACCGAAAAGTTCGGCTGAGCCGACCAAATAATTCGGTCGTGTGTACCGAACAAAATATTGGTTCCATATGAACCAAACTAGTTCGGATTTACCGAACTTTTTTTCTCAGTGTAGTTATAGCACCGGTGTTATTTAACAAGGGTGCCCATCTTTTTCCCACCTTGAAAAATTTTTCCAAGAATTATCTTACCATACTGGCATCCAGTGGCGTGGCGTGCTTTGCGATATATCGATCGTCATGCCATTTAAACCTATTGAAAAGGATCGACAAACAGGGTGTTCGCAGCAAACACCTTAATAATCGATTCTTTATCGTAGGTTTAAATCGCATAACAATCGATACATCGCAATTCACGCCACGCCACTGATGGCATCAAAAATTATCCAACACATGACTAGTAGTTTTTATTGTATTTTCACCAAGACATTTGATCTGCTGTTTCATTGGGTAACAATGCTGATTTGTCGAGGATATGATGAGGTGTATGACATGGCTTATTTTTTCTGATGTTTCGTAGAAATTATTTAATTTTTGCCCTATATTATTTTTTGAATTCCGATTCCGATTTTTTTTAATTTTTATTTTCTTTTCCTATTCAACCGATCGAGAGGTCTGCCACTTTTAATACTGCCACGCTAAGGAAAAACGCCGTATGAACATTCGAAAGTTGCCAAATTTCCTCTCAGAAAATAGTTGTTTTCGAGGAATGTTATGAATATGTGTCCTTAAGATTTTCAGGAACTTCAGGAACAATTGCGAAAAAAAAATCATCTGAAAAATCGGAGGAAAAATATTTACAAATTTTCCCAAAAATTCATGATCTACTAAAAGGAAATTTGGCAACGCCTGAAGATTCATACGGCTTTCTACGTTAGCACGGCAGAATAAAGCTCGCATCGATTGTTTCTTTATTAAAAGCTGCGGTGAATCAATTGCCGTAGAATTCTGTCAACTATAATCCGCAAGCCTTAAGGTGATTTGATGGACGCCATATTTTGTGTCAGAACGGCATGCGATATATCGCATCAATTGACTCTATTTTTTCAGCTACTATTAATTTTTCTTGAATTTTGAGATCGCAATTCTGTTGTCAGGAGACTAAAGCACTCACTTACCAATTTTTACAAACAAATTCAACGTAATAAAGACGTGGTTTTTTTAGAGAGAAGATATTGCATTCGAGTGCAGTTTCGATATCAGTATCGAATGCAATATTTTCTCTCTAAAAAAACCACGCCTTTATTACCTTGAATTTGTTTGTAAAAATTGATAAGTGAGTGCTTTAGTCTCCTGACAACAGAATTGCAATCTCAATATTCAAGAAAAATTAATAGTAGCTGAAAAAATAGAGTCAATCGATGCCATATATCGCACGTCGTTCTGACATAAAATATGGCGTCCATGGAATCACCTTAATTTATGTTTGTTAATAACTCTCTTAGTCCCCTCCCGTGGATTTTATGGGTGATTCTGAGGACATTGAATGAATGGACAGCGTTGAAAATTACTACCTTTTATAATTTTTATCATAGGTTTTATGTAAAAGGCTGAACTTTTTATGATTATCATCAAAAGAATTGCATGAAAGGATTTTGTTTTGCAAAACTTGAAATAGTATCGCGTTTGAAGCTTTCAAATATGATTTCAGCTGAAACTGTCTCCGTTTGAAGGCGGTGTGAGGGGAGTGGCCGTCGCTTGGAGTCGTCTTTTCAGGCGCAACGGCCGAACTTCTGCCAACTACATGCATATATCGGACTGGTTCCCAACTCTCTACTCAGCAGCAGGTAGGATATAAGTCAGACATGTAAGGTGCAGTAAGGTGGTTTTCCGGTTCTACTTTTACCTAAAATTCCAACAGAAAATCAAATTCCAAAAACAAAGTACAAAGATCAACCTTTCTCTGGTAAGCTGTAGCTATAGCTGTGTATACTCTTTTGTTGATATCGTATATCTTCACTGGCAGAAAAAATTCGGTCCTGTGAACCGAATGTTCTGTGTTCTATACTATCCCAAAAATTCGGTCCTGTGAACCGAATGTTCTGTGTTCCATACTATCTCAAATATTCGGTTCGTGTAACCGAACGTTCGGGATATGTGACCAAACTTTGTTCGTTAGTTCACTGTACTGCACAAGTTCGGTTGCACGAACCGAACGTTTGGTTTGACAAACCGAAAATTCAGTTTGACGGACCGAACGTTTGGTTTGACAAACCGAAAATTCAGTTTGACAAACCGAATTAGTTGGGTTGATATGGACACCGAACTTCGGTACGTGCGATCGTACTTTTCTTTTCAGTGAAGTGGAGAAATTTTGGGATATGGAACTTCTACAGCTGGCTCAGTCATAAATTCATCTAAAATAGCTCATATGAATAGTTTTTCTATAAAGAGTGAGAAATGTGTTCATTGTTGCAAAAATCATTCTAAAATGATCACAGATATCAATTTTCACTTTATGCTTTACTAATTAAATTATCAATTACCTTCAGGAGGCGATGTTTCCACGTTGAAAGGTTTAGATGGAGTAAATCAGTGGTTTAACTTGGTGGACGAGAGAACCGAGGTCCCGAGAAATCAACTTCTCGTCAACATCAACGAGAAATTAGGTGATTGGGCTATCATTGTGGATGAATGGAAACTAGTAAAAGGTAATTTCATATTTTATAGACGTTGTGACGTTTGTGCATAGCATATAAATATATTTTCTTATTCATTATGAAGTAATAAAATCATATCATTACTCTCGGGCTCTAAACGAGTATCTCAAGTTAAATACTCTCTATATTTAGGATGGTTTTACAACACTCTATAGAAAGATTCGATAATCGGTCGATCAGTCAATAATTTTCGGTTTCATAACATTCTCCCATTTGGACGTATTTCTACCAAACGGAACCATGTGCATTATGACGTGAGCTCTGTTATGCATATATTCTCATGGATCTCAGGGCTCATATCTTAATGCACATAGTCCCGCTTGGCAGAACGTTCATTTGAACAACGTAAACGTTCATTTTTTGTCCCAGTAAATCCTGAAGGTCTACTGGGTCAATTTTCATGATTTTTGCGGCTATTGACAGGAGATAGTTCCTAGATGAGGTCACCGTTTTTAGATGGTCTAGAAGCGGTTCTTAGAGAGCGCGAGGCGCTCCTGGGGGCTGGGCCACATACTGCCGTGCTAAGGAAAAACGCCGTATGAATCTTCAGGCGCTGCCAAATTTCCTTTGATAAAACACCAATTTTCAAGAAAATTTGTGAATATATTTCTTCCAATTTCTCAGATAATTTTGTTTGTAATTTGATCTAAGACTTCTGAAAATTTCAAGGAAAAATATTCCCCTCAAAAATGAACATTTTATCGAAGGGAATTTGGCAACTCTGGAATGTTCATACGGCGTTCTTCCTTTGTACGGCAGCATAGCAGTCACGAGGTTTATTCTCCTGGTATAAATGAATAACATTTTGATTTGCTTAATTTCCAGTAAATATCACCCACCTCGTGAATTTCACGCAGCTCTATTACGGCGAGACAGGACGAAACGGTGAGGAGTATTCAATGGAACTCGTCACAAACAGTCGAGTGTCCAAAATCCTTAGACGGAATCGACTCCAAGGTGATCTTCGGGAGGAATACGCGGAGCGCCGAGCCAGCTTAGAGATGACGTCATCGTGCGCGGAGAGAATAGCCGCCTCCAACGGCACCGATCCTCTGATCCCTTCGGATCGTTGTAACGAAGTGCCATGTCTCTTCAACATCCAACAGGATCCCTGCGAGTTCCACAACGTGGCCGATCAACATCCATCGGTTGTCGATGCACTCGAAGAACTCTTGGAGGGCTATGCCGCGCAGTTGGTCGAATCGCAAGAGGCTGAGTTCGACCCGGCTGCGCATCCGAAAAACTGGGATGGTTACTGGGCTCCATGGTTGGACTGAGATGACCCACTTTTGGCTTGCAACAAACCAGAGCAAGAGACCCTCCACTGGCCTCTTGGCGACAGGTGGAATTTCTTACTTTCGGGGATTCAACAATTCCTTATGGACAATTATAAGGGAGCAACAGTCATCATCCTAATTTCGGCTGTTGACCTACCTACGTGATGGACGATGAGCTTCGGGTGACGTCATGAGCCAAACAAGTTTCCCAGACTTCGGCCATTTTCGGCTTGTTTGCAAAACGAAACTTCCAACACGTTGTTGAACATTAACCGTGTAAGTTAGTAGAATTTAGGAGTCCCGAAAGTAAAAGTTTCCACCATGGCCAAGATACTCGTGGAGGGTTTCTTGTCTCTGAAAAAACGCCAAAAATTTAAAAAAAATTTAAAAACGCTGAAAAATTTAGGTCAAGTTTTTTACGTCTCTCTGCTCTCTGAACCAACCTAATAGCCGGTAACTAAGGAACACTATCTGAGGACGCAAAAAATTTGAAAAAAATGTGTATCAACTGCATGAATTGCACGCTGAGGGATGGATTTCAGACTTTTTTTGCGTATCTATCATAATTTTTGTAAAATTGTACTATAATTATGTTCATTCACTCGGCTGTATCTCTTATGTGCATCATACCCATAGGCCATCGTGTGCTCTACCCGAAATTGAAATGCTGGGTGCAGAGAGGGCATTTCTTAGTTGCGGTGTCTCAAGATCTCTGTTCGCGTTTCATGCACTACTTATACTTAAAGCAAATGCATGGAATTTCTTAGAACTTTTACTGAATTTTTTTCATGATTTTACAATGCTGCAAACAAATGTTTTCAGAAAATGAGAGATTCTAAAACATCACAACCAAGATATGCCATTTCTGCACCCAACGCCTCAACTATATTGTAATTTTTTGCAAATGTCTTTATTTACAACATTATTGAGCGCTTTATGCTAACACGGTGTTCTTCAGACACTCTCAAATATTATGTAAAACAAATAAATGTCAAGATGTGTCCGGATTCTTCCTCCTAGTCTCTACGGCCATAAACTTAAGCTTTTGATCTCTTCACAAAAGATAACACGAACTCATGAATCAATTTAATTCTTTTTTTTTTGCGACGGGTTCAGCGTAGACGTCCACTTAATAAAAAACTTTGTAGTGAAATACCCAACATGAACAACTCCATTATTATCATACTTTTCCTTGTTGGAGTTTCTCCCACCACTTGAAATTCGCGTTTTTCAGTTATGGTTTTAGAAGATTCAGTTAAAGACACCGGTGTAAGGGGAAGTCGACTTCATAGTTTAACTTAAAAACGTTTTTGTTCTTTTGATATGCGTATTCTGCACATTTAAAATTTTGATATCCTGTTCCAACAACCATGGAATTGTGAAGTGTTTGTGATAAAAGTTTTTTCCTGGAATTTAAACATCTCAGTTTGTCGTTATTCCCGGCATCAAGTGTAAAGGCTTTTGGTTCGTGGAATATCTCACACGACTGTGGCTGTTTTTAATCGTATGGTACCATGGTCATGAGTGGAACTGGGAAGGAGGAACTGTTGTGTCCAATTGTCCATATGTTCCTTCTTTGAGGGGCACATGGACTTACTGATGCGAAGACTTTTGTGAAAAAAGAGGTTGACTCTTCAGATCTTTGAAATTTCATCTCAAATATTTTCCGTAAGAACAGCTGAAAATTGCTCTCAATACATTAAAGTTTTCTAAATATTTACGAGAGCCGCAGACTCCTATTTTGGAGTTGAAAATTTCCCTGCACCCCGCTTCGTAAGATGTCTTTCTATGCCCAACTCGCCGAAAAGAATGCTTGTTCCGCCCACGACTCAAGCTATTAATTCCCTTGTTACTTCACCTGGAAAAGTTAAACCAAAAGTCCTAGGTGAAAGAAAATCTTAACAAGTTGGATTTTGCAATCGCTAGCGATAGCAATATTCGTCATGGGAACGATAGCTTCTGGGATATGAAAATGTTAAGGTACAGTTCGTTTGTAGTATCTTCTGAATTGAAGGGGCTATGTAATTTTGTGTTGACATCTCTTTTTTAACATTTTTAATTATTTTCTTTGCATACAAGAAAGCTGTTATGTACCAATTATTTATTTTCGTTGAATTATATATGGTTTTCGGAAGTTAACGCATTTAAGTTTCAGGTTCGCTTTTTCGGCGTAAAGTATACGTAAGGTGTCCCAAAAGCACCGGGACTTGTTCTGTAACTTCGAAAGTAAGATAGATACAGACATGATCTTGATTTCATTTTAAAGATCAACTCAATACCTATCGATTAAAACCAAGATCAGCTCAATCGGATAAAAATTGACCGAGTTATGGCAATTTGAAATCAGCGAGGAAAGTTTACGCCTACGGTTTTTAAGGAAGATTCTTCATCGCCGTAAATCGAAAAGTCGGCCGATAAAGTGATGCTTATTGTGTTTTTTTATTTTCGAGGTGTCATTTATCAACATTTTGTACCATCAAACACAACAGTTGACAGTGCGTATTATTGCAAAGTACTAAAGGAGTTGAGAATGCACATTTCCCGGAAACGGTCGGACTTGAAAGCTTCGTGGATACTCCATCAAGACAATGCGCGGCCTCACACATCGAGCTTAACACGTGAATTTATGAGTAAAAATGGAGTTGAAACAATCCCTCATCCCCCTTATAGCCCTGACTTGGCTCCATGTGATTTTTGGATGTTTCCTACGCTTAAAAAGGAGCTTCGCGGACGAAGATTCGTATCGAAGACCGAAATCCAGAATGCAATTCAAAACTTCTTCAACTCCATCCCAGAGGAAGAATTCAGGAAAACAATGTTGGATAAGTGGCAAGAGCGCATGAAAAAGTGCATCCGGTTTGATGGACGGTACTTTGAAAAGCAAAAGGAAGTTATGGAAGATTCGGAGGAAAGTGGATACGAATATTAACTTTTTGAATCCTGGTAAGCGAAAAATCTTCCTAAAAACCGTAGGGGTAAACTTTCCTCACTAATTTCAAATTGTCATAACTCGGTCAATTTTTATTCGATTGAGCTGATCTTGGTTTTAATCGATAGGTATTGAGTTGATCTTTAAAATGAGACCAAAATCATGTCTGTATCTATCTTACTTTTGAAGTTACAGAACCAGTCCCGGTACTTTTGGGACACCCTACGTATGATATTTTTACTCTACACATATGCCCGAATACGCATCATAAGGGACCTATGTGCTTCCTAAGTTGCCAAGTATTAATTATTGTTAGATTATTGGTCTAAAACATTCAATACAACCAGTAAAAATTAGCTGTCCCCTACGAGATTCGAACCCCCGCTCGCACAAAAAGTGACACTCTCCCAGAGTCAGAACAGTGGCTTAGCTAACTGAGCTATCTCGCCGGTCGGATGTTGGTGGAGAAAATGAGAACAGTTAAGTGATCTCGGACGCTGAGCGGGGCTTCACAAAAGACGTCCTTGAGATTTCAACGGTTCGGCCACTGGCGTGATAAGAGACAAATGGATCAAGCGCATTACTCTGTGAGACATTGTTTACCTATGCGGTCATGTGTCACAAGGTTCATCTCAGTATGCATTTGCGATCGCGGCAGTAAGCTGAGGCAATATTTCTGTATTCATGGATTAAATCCATCAATCGAGTTCTGATTTTGGCTCATATATCCGTAACGGGTCCTCCAGAGCAATTTTCCACCTTGTACGATGGTTATTATTTCTTTACATCTATGTTTAAAATTTGAGGTGGGATAATGGCGGCTTCTCAAGAGCAACGAGGTAGGCGATCTTTTGCACCAACGAACAGAAAACTGATGGCGAAAAATAGCCAATGAAAACCTCCCAAAAAAAAGAATTTGCCTAAAAACGGAACTTCGTGGTTCTGCGCAGATTTACCAGTCAGACACGACATCTCAAGGTGGAAAAAAACTCGCTGAAAGCGAATTTTAGAAATCAACACAACTTGACGTAGAGACATGATTGGCTAAAAAATACAACGGTTTTTGATACATCGGAAAATCAACCAAAAATCGGAGACTGGGCGAAACGCTCAAGGTCGCAGAGGTATAGGGAATTCCATAGCGAAAGCAACGGAACGATTCTAATATCATGGGGAACTCCGTTCCCATGACAAAAAAAAAAAAATTTTAAGCGTGCCAGTAGGGCTTGCTTTTTTTATATAAGACTACCAGAAATCCGGATATCCGGATATAAGGGCAAATAATGATAATCAAAGTATACATACACGAAAATTAGAAGTAAGTTTAAGACGGTCTCATAACAGCTCATGTTGGGTGTTTTAACCACATTTTAACCATGCCAAGTCGAGAATTGATGTTAACCTTATGTGGACCACATTTTGCACTATGGAGCTATAATATCTAATTCATCATTGAAAGCTCCTATCAAGATAAGGAATATAATGACTTATACGTTATTTTTGAGATGAGTCAGAAAAAGTCATTCCTTGTTGCAAAAGGTAGTTCATTTGGTCCTGGTTTCGGTCAAAATTAGTTTTTGCTTTTCATTCGATTTGATGGTCACACTACAGCTGAGACTGCTACCACCTCCTAGAGATTTTGACAAATCAAAATAAGCAACAAATTTTGAAGGAGACGGAGTATAGTAACTACCTCTACCGTGAGGCAAACTCACGTTTTTCCATTTGACAGTTAGCGCACTTCTCCTACTGGTATCCTCATACAACAGCATGTTTTCTCACGGAAAGATCAAAATACTCTTTTTAGTAACTCAATATGCGTGGTATTTTACTGCTGCCCGGAATCCAGATCAACCTCATATAATATTCATTATTGCAGACGATCTGGTAAGTTGAAACATTTTTTTTTTTTAGTTTTATGTAGCCCACTCTGCAAAATAAAGCTATCTCAATATTTCTAAAGTTCCCGTAATATTGAATTTGCCGAAAAGATTGCGTGACTTGCCATAATGCGGACTCCATAATGAAGCTGGTTGCGTCTTCCTCTCTCCAGCTAGTGCAAGTTGTAGAAGCGAAATGACCTTCCCCCTCCCTTCCATGCCTCACAACGTCCACCACTGCGTGAGTCCAGAAGGATCAAGCAATACCTTCACAAAAAATCGAATGAAATAATTTGGAAGGGACATACGCTCCATACGCCAGGGTCGTTTTCGCAGTATCGTTTTTTTGAGGACGGGTTTAAGATGAGCGTCTTTTTCTTGGGAGTGGGTGGAAAGAGATCATGCACAGCAGTGTTTCCGGGCCACAAAGGAATCAGACGGGGGAGGAGGTAAAAACCCCGCAAATTTAACTTTACGTAACTTAAGGATGACCCCATGGATCAATTACACTGGAAAAAAACCACATTGGATCTAGAATCCAGACTCTTAACCCTAGTCTGCCTGAGTGGGGTCAGATTGACCCCACGGGAGTTTCAACTCTTTGCCATTTCTCGTGGTATGCACGAAATTTTTTGTCCTTCACAAATAGCTCTACAAAAACATCTAGGAACACGATTTTGAAGGGGGGGAAAAAAAATGTGCATGAGAGATCAAAAAATTCACGAGTACCCCTAGAAAGCCGGAGCGGGGTCAGATATCCGTATAACATATATTTTACCATTTAGCATCACAAAAGCTTACTTTGAAGGTGTATTCATTTTTCTCTTTTTAATTTTTTTCAGAAACTTATAAAACAAGCAAAATTTTTCAGATTTTTTTCGTTTTCAGTATTTAGTAGCCCTATGATTTTTTTTTTCTCATGCTGAGAACAACATGACAACATGTGTATGATAAAATGGTTGCATAGCTTGCGCCGTGTTTTTTAAAACTTAGATATGCTTTATGGTTAAGGCCTGTAAGGTTAGTGCACTGATATTAACCAAAAACATGAAAAAAACATAGCTAACTAATTGATTTTCAGCTGGGGTCAAATTGACCCCGCTCAGGCTTTCTCGTTGGTTCAGAGGCTCAGGCAGACTAGGGTTAATAACATCGACAAGAAAAAATACTCTTGATTCAATCAGATTTAAGCCTAAATCAAGAAGCAAGCCTCTTAATTTGAGCGGATTTCCTTTTGATTTAAGCTTAAATCTGATTGAATCAAGAGTCCTTTTTACTGTCAATGTTTTCAAGAGTCTGGACTCTAGATCTAATGTGTTTTTTTCCAGTGTATCCCGCAATTTCAAAAGAATTTCGGAGGTTTTTATTTGATTTAATTATTTATCCCATCATATTTCATGAACAATATGTTTAGATTGACGGAGGTAGGGTACCAGGTACTTCATTACTGATTGTTCGAATCGTCGACAAGAATTTTTTTTCTGCTGATTTTATGGTTTCGTGTCTAGCAACTTCAGCCAACTTTAGACTATGTTTATTGTTCGTAGACATCAAGGGGTTGAGGCACATCCATGCTCCAGGCTTTTCAAATTTTCAGGGATTAGGGCCAAGTAGAATCTGTTTCAGCAGACCTACTCGTAAATTCCGTGAAAATTTGACGCCACTACCGGGATTCGAACCCGGGACCTATTGACCTAGAGTTAGACGCGCCGACCACTAGGCCAACCTGCCACGAAAATTTCTGACTGCGCAGTTTTTCTATGCAGATAAGTATTTTTATAGATGAGCCAGACTAGTTGTTCCTTTATTGCAATGTGTAGTCCTGTAAGTTCACGGTGCACCATTTCACGCACTTTCAGGGATGGAACGACGTTGGATTCCGGGGATCGAATCAGATACCGACGCCAAACATCGACGCTTTGGCCTACAATGGTATCGTCCTAAACCGTCATTACACTTTGCCCTGCTGTTCGCCATCCAGGGCTGCTTTGCTAACGGGAAAATACCCCATTAGAATGGGTATGTATCTGGCGGTTATGGTGAATGAACTTTGTCTAGCTAACCTTATATGCTGTTCAATTTAAGTAATCAAAGTCCGAAAAAAAGTTTAATGGGGCTCACGAAGAAAAATAGAACGGTACTAAGCACCAACTTTGCTTTAATATCCGCCGGATGTGGTGGGCTGCAGGAAAACATGTCACCTATCAGAGGAAGTTTGTGCGGAAGTACAGGAGGAATGTGCTGGGGACAAGTGTCGGCTGTGCCCAAGTGCGGAATGGAATGTTAAAGCAAAATCATCATCCGTCCCATGTGATGAAGTCCATCCTCTGGTACTCAGCGCGGATTTTTTTTCTACAAGCTGTCCGTAATTTACGTGACGCATTTTTTCCTAATTTTGACAATCACTCACCCCTTGTAACGCGATCGTCATGCTGGTCAAGACACCTCCAAAATTACTGCGTAACATTTGCCCCGACACCCATCCCCTTCTTCACAAAAAAACTTGAAAGCAATTTTGTCACAGAAAAAGGGTTATGATGATGACTTTCATTAAATAATTTCATTAATAATTAAGGCTCTGATTTGTGAGAAACAAGAATAAATTAACAGACTAAAAAGTAGCATATAAAAATTTAAAAAAGAGAAAAACCAAAATAACAAGTTCAAATTTAATATACATACCGTTACGTAACGCTAAGCTTGATACCCCTCAACCACTGTTACGATAGGTCATAAAAGTAGGAAGATCCACCCACTTCCAAAAGCGCTACGAAATTTATGGACAGCCTCAAAGTACCGTTCTATGTTCCCTTCCGAGTGAAAAATTCTCAATTTAACTTGCAAAATCATTGATGATTCAACTGATCAAGAAGATTCATATTAAATTTTACATCCTGGGGACTCATTACGAGTTTCTGTCAGAAATTTTGCAACTTTGCGAAGGAGGTAAAGGGTTTAGAACGCATTATTACAGTTTCGCTGACAATCGTGGTAATTTTAGGGAAGTCGGTTGGTACGTGCTGCAGTTAAATAATTTTTACATATTTCGACTTCGATATTCTTTTGAGTCAACGAGTTGCAATGTCTGTTTTCTCTTAAAAGTAAATTGGAGGTATTTCTGCCAAACAGAACTGTGTGCATTATGACATGAGCCCTATTCTGCATTATACTCTTATTGGTCTCAGGGCTCATGTCTTAATGCACGTAGTTCTGTTTGGTAGAAATACGTCCAATTAAGATAGCAAACTTTGTAAATTAAAGCATAATTTGGTCACTTTTATTTGCGTTTGATCAAAAACATATAACAAAACATTTAAATAATATCTTCGAATTAGTACTATACCAGGTCATGTTCAACGTATTAATTTTAAGAAAATTGCAGGTCTACAGGGTTTCCCACTTATTGCTGGACACGCAGATGGCATGCCTTTGGACGAAGTTCTTTTACCTGAGGTACTTATTTTGATTCATCTATCGTTTGAAGTTAGGTCGAAACCTCGTATCTCCTTTTGCGAAGTTGTGACATATTTGTAAAACCTTTTCCTAATGACATTAATCTCAATGAGCCGCAGTTGTGCCGAGAGACACTGCAAAAATGAATAAAAGAGGGGAAAAACCAAGAAGCACACACTCTTTAGTTTTAACCCATTTGAACATCGATCTTTTAGAGTCAAATACGTCAAATTTTGAGCGTTTGGTTGCGCGTACACTTCGCTGCAGCACAATAAAAGCACAAAGTGTAAAGGAAAAAATTAAAGTGCTTTGGAAATCATTAAATTTGACATGAAACCACCGATATTTAAAAAACACAAATTATATTATTATTCTCCTTTGATAAATTGATACCTATTTTTCCCCATCAATTTAAATGAGAATAATAAATGCAGAGTGTGCAAACATTTCAAAATCATAAGTTAAAAAACGCTGACTATACGAGTATACATATTAAAGCCTATCAGAGCGGAGCGGCGGCGTGCTGCCAGCGCGAGAGGCTCACTGGCGCCTACAAACCTAAGTGGATACTTCACGCATTGCACGATGCTTGAAGTATCCACTTTGGTTTGTAGGCGCTAATGCGCGTTGAGCGCTGGCCGCCCGCCCGCCGTGCGGCAGCGGCGCCTGAAGCAACTATTTCACAACAGAGGTGTTGCACAGTATTATACGAAATTGAACGTATTAAGAATGACAGGCATACTTTAAAAGTACAGATCTTTCCTCGCAAAATAAATCAAGATACTTATCTTACACAGGAAAAATCTAAGAGCCTTTAGCTGAGGCAAACATAGAGGTTTATTCGGTTCAGGTATAACAAGATGGGAATTTCTTGAAAGATAATCAAGTCCTGTTACACCAAAGAGGTGTAGGGAGTTTTAGTGAATTTCGTCTCATGGAATTGACGCTCCCTCATTTTTACCAGAACTCTCAACTATATATTATTCTCTGTTTGACCAAACAGACAAAACAAAAAAAAACAAGCAAACCCTCATTTCAGCAAAACCCCCTTCCAAGACATGATACATTTTCATCCAAAAATGTCGTGAGCAATTGTCGTTTGTATTTACATGTGGGCCAATTAACTTTGGGTCTCAACTGCCACGTGGACCAAAACTCCCGTGCCAAAAAAAAGCGTGGACGTAAATTACTGGAAAAAACAGGTGCGCGGACAAAAAAATCGTTGACAAAATGTCCTATAACCACTTATACCCGTCAATATGTAAGTCCGCAATCCTGAAATATCACATCCGTATGCGCTTCTCAGATCGCTATGGAGGCCTTCGGAAGTAGCTATAAAGCGCTAGGTCTATTTTGGAACCCAGTAGCGTCCATTTTGAAAAATTGTTACTATGCAACTGAGCGTAACAAAATATCTATTTTTCAATTTATAAAATTGAAATTATTTGTGTTCAATTCTATTTTTGATCGATGCATATGAATAGATTAGAGAATATGATCAAACTTTTGTTTCAGTATTTGCAGAAATTGGGGTATATTACTCGTCTAATTGGTAAAGGGCATCTTGGAACTTCAAAAACAAGCATGACCCCCACTCACCGTGGTTTTCACTCTCATTTTGGATACTACAACGGATACGTCGGCTATAGAAATGGCATTCATGATTGGGTTGAGTATGATTTTTATACAGCAAATCTCTTTGCACACTGAAAAAAATATCTCGGTGTATTTACTAAGAAAAGGGTAAAATTACCGAGAATTCAGAGTTCTATTTGATCCCAGTTTTTTCTTGGTAAAATTACCATTAATGGAATTGGTAATTTTCCGAGAAATCTCGGTAAAATTATTGACTTTCTCGGTAATTTTACTGGACCCTGGTAGAAACGCCAATATTTTTTATCGACTGTGGTAAAATTACCGAGATAAAATGGCAAAGTTACCGGAAATTGATTACCAATAAAAGTGGTATTCTTACCTGAAAAAAAAACAGTAAAAATACCGATTTTTAGGTAAGCTTACCAGTCTGTCTTGGTAAAATTATCAATAATTGGTAAAAAAAGTGAGATGGTAAAGGTACCAACGGACCTTGGTAAAAACGCCGAGAATTTTTTTTCAGTGTACAGGGTGGCCCAGACCTACCGTGCCAAAAATCTTTTCGGTTGATGTAAGTCGGACGAAGTTTAGGACAACGGAGAAGAATAGGAAATTAACCCCAAGAAATGCGAATTTAATGGTAATGTAGCCCTTCTGGCGTCCCTCGGGGGTGCAAAGGGAGTCCATACTTCAAAAGTCGTGGTTTATGTCAAAATTTTGAAATTATTTCATTGGAATCAAAAACCACGGAAAATTTTAACCTAAATCGACACCATGAAATCCACAATCGGCACACCCGTATCCGAAATACTCACCCTTTAAGGCGCCCTTAGAAAAAATGAAAGTTCCCCTAAATTGACGCAGAGCCTCGGAAAAAAGGTGTTTTCATGTGTAATCAACCCCAAGGAATTCGAATTTGAGAATCTTGTCGTCCCTAGAGGCTTCCCTAATGGGGAACAGGGGACCTTGAATACTTGTAGGTGTAAAAAGTGAGAGTCCCTCTGTACCCTATCAAAGAAGTCTCTGAGGACGGCAGGGTCCTCAAATCCAGATTTCTTGGGGTCGAAAACGCCGCGCTCCTGGATTTCATCCAACCTAAGTCAACCGTAAAAAAGGCCTGGGCCACCCTGTATACTATAGTTCAGTATCTCAATAAAAAAGCTTCTTCTCTTAGATGGATTAATATCCTCACTAGCATTCTTTCTACGACGTTTGTTACATTTTTGTTTTTGTGTAAATTCAGGTATCCCTCTATTTTTAGGATAATGTTACTGGGTATGACTGCTACCGCAACGGGAAACGAAGCAAAGAAGAGGTTGTGGGCAAATATTTAACGGATGTTTATACTGAAGAGGCTGTTAAAGTAATTAAAGGTCACGAAAAGTCAACTGAGCCACTGTTTCTCTATTTATCACACCTAGCCCCGCACGCTGGTGCCCCTGGTGTTTTGGAGGTCCGGAACGAAACCGAAAATTCTAAAAAATTTAGCTACATATCGGACCCGTCAAGGCGATTATATGCAGGTAAGAGTAATAAGAGTAACAATAATGTAAATGAAAGAGGAAGAGGGAGACTCCTGTTCTATTCAATTAAGCATCATGATTGGAAGTCCTTAGAAACGGAAAAATAACAATGTACCAAATGTTTGGAGAATGCCAATTTTCGTAAGATTTTTAGCATTACCGTTGTCAAAATGCAAGAAAAACTATGTACCTATCATTTTAACCCATAAAACACGCCTCTGCAACCTTGTATCACCCTGTAGGCTCTTAAGAATTTAAATTAACTTGAAACAAATGAAGAGGATAAGTCAAAGAATTAAGATCCAAGATCAATCTGAAACTATGACTTATATAACTCACCACTGAAGCCACTTTATAAGATAGTACTTCTCTGAGGCACTTTTACAGTGAAACACTAGCATAATTTTTGATGATTCATAGGAATGATGGAAGCCTTGGACGACTCTATCGGCGCAGTCGTCGAAGCTTTGGACTCTCAAAACATGTTGCAGAAGAGTGTCATCATTTTCATAGCTGACAATGGAGGCATAACCGCTTGGCCATTTTCGCAACTACAGAACAGCGCGTCAAATTGGCCTCTGCGTGGTGTGAGTTCACTAGTTTTTTTTCATCGGATCATCATCAATTTCAATTTGAAGGATTTAAATCATAAAGAACTATATCCATTCGGATATGAGCCCTGAGATCCATAAGAATTCATGCATGACGGGGCTCATGTCATAATCGATATAGTTCCATTTAATTTAAATGCTCTCAATTCTAACTCTTGCGCTTGAAATGTTTGAAGTGTATTTATAATTTTTGGTTATTTTATAGGCGTGAGCGTTAATCATTCCAAATGAATACCAGTGTAACCAGAAATGTACTCAGTGTGTCGGGCGATTATTAGTTAAATGAAATGATAATATTTATAATAGATAATCATTTTTTCACCGTATCTGATTGCACAAAACATAATTAACAAGGAGACTAGGTAAATTAAATGGCTCACAACTTTTTTTTCTCTTTTTCATACCACACCCATGTAAATGTTCTAGTGCCGGTGGACTGGAAACAGATTTATACGTAAAATTGCAGCAATCAGTTTCCCATGGAGATTTTGGTTTAGGAATCGTCTCACCGAAAAAAATGAAGCAAGTCTAAATTATATATTGTAAAAAAATGAGTTTGAGAGAAGGCCATAAAATAATATAAAAATTTCAATCGTATGTCCTGGGCTATAAATTTTAAGATTATACGTCCTTTGTCAGAAAAAGAAAGAAACCACCACTAAAATGTAATATAAATGGATTACCAGAGAGTGATTTCCGCAATTGTTGTTACGAATGTTGTGCCTGCTGATTTCAGCTCATTACTTACTTGAACTTCAATCTCTGAAGGCGATTTATGTGCGAAAGCAGCCTTCAGCTGCGTCTGCAGAAATTGTGGTTGCGAATATATTGTGTGTGCTGATCTCAGCTCAATACATACTTTACTCTCTGAAGGCGAATTGCAATGTCCAAAAGTAGAGCACCCTGTTGGAGAACAACAGAAGTGAGATTGAATGAATCGCTCAATCCCTACTTCGTTCGTTCTCCGACAGGTTGCACTACTTGCGCATATAAAACGCCTTCAGAAAGTCGAGTATGTAATGAGTTGAAATCAGCACGCACAACATATTCGTAACAACAATTGCTGCAGACGCATCATAAGGTGGATTGCTCTGTTAAAAAAAAGAGTAAGTTAGGAAGTTTGCATGTAACGCGAGGGTATGCATTCGATTGACATGAATCGAACGAAAATTAAAAACGTGAATCGATCGACTTGAACCGGTCGACACCGATTCAATGGACAAATTAATGAAAAACCTGATCGAAGTCAGTGGAAAACTTGCACTTATATGAACATTTTAAATTTCAATATTTCAAAAAGAGGATCAGCCAAGGTTTTGATTTTTCACGATTTTAGGTCTACACATACTTACCATAGATTCACCTCCTACTAAACGTTTTTGGTTACATTTTGGTCGCATTTGAAAATGATAAAAAGAGATTGAAAAGTGGAAAATCAATTTCAGAAGACGCATTCTTTATTGTTTCAGATGAAATTTTCTCCATTTGAGGGTGGAGTCAGAGGAGTGTCTATTGCTTGGAGTCCACTTTTCAAAGACCTTCGCGAAACCTCCGAAGAATACATGCACATATCTGACTGGCTTCCAACTTTATATAGCGCCGCAGGTTGAAGAAAATTATTTTCATTAACGTGCATATTTAGATGTCTTACTTCGAGAACGGCCTAACGTGGAGGAAATAGAAACAAGCAGGAAGCTCCAACGCATTCGCGTCGGAGAGCGGCTCTGGCGACAGTAGTTGTAGTCAAGAATGAGGGCCTAGACACTTTTTGTCACTGATGTACAATCCGACAACTGTCGATTCATGTTTTGTAACTTAGCAGATTTACGTAGCCGGTGTATAAATGTGTATTGGCCCTTGATATGCAGAATGCATGACACTATCACTTGTTGTATACTTTTAATTTTGAAGGCTCTTTGGAGGTCCGCATCCTAAAAAATTTCTCCCACAGTATTTTTTTTAACTTGTCGTTGTGATTGGGCGCCAATTTCTTTCAATTGAGTGATCATCTTCTTTTTTTGTCAAATAACTAGTTTGTGCAACAATAAGACTGAAACTGACTGTAACTGAAATTTTGTCTTTTTAGATATTTGGTTATTTTGTATTTATTAGATTGTATATTTTCACAGCCCTGTGATAAGAAACTTTGGAATGCATGGTTGATAAGTCGTTTAGCGAGGCTGCAAAAAATTTGCATTTTTATATCTGAAATTGTAGGTAATGGTTTTGAATATCGAATTGCGATATATTACACGGTTAAGATAGGGCTATATGTCTTGTCGTAAGCGGCGACATAGAGTCGATGTCATTTCAATAATCGCCCCGATGGCCACGGTAGTTGTGTGCCGTCTGCCCACGTAGCAAATGGGAGGCGAAAATGGAAGTCATCAGTGCATCGGTGAGTGTTGAACGTGAAAATTGCGCGGGCCGCGCAAATTTCGCGATCATCGATGTGTCGGGGCTGAGCATCCATCATTTTCTATCTTGTTTTGAAGCTATGTGAGTTGTGATAAAGTACATAATTTTTTTGTATTATATTACTGTATAAATAGTGTAAAATTTGTACAGAACTTTGTACAAAATAGTTTCTTGTAAAAAGTGTGGACTACTGCCACGTCGCGTCGTTTCCATACAAACTCCCAATACGCCGCAAGTACCACAAATGCCCATGTTAACCAAATCACCTCATCATCCATTTTTTAAGGACACAATTTTTAATTCAAATCAACTTACTTTATCAAAACTCCAATCGTTTATCAAATAACATATATCGAGTCATTTTAACAAAATCAAAGACGGCATAATATCATTTATCACACAGCCAAAAACCTAACCTAGAAACCACGATGTTTACAAACTCAAATTGGAGAACACTCATTGGTCCAATAATAAAAATTGATTTGCCGCCTTTTTTCTTTGCAAGCAAAACGTGTGAACATGTCTGAAAATGGGATCGGGCGTCAACACTCAACGATGCACTGATGACTTCCATTTTCGCCTCCCATTTGCTACGTGGGCAGACGGCATTAGACGTTTACGGTTTCCTTGGTAACCTTTGTTTGCTATCAGCTGATATCGAGTAATATGACTAGGAAGCTCCAACCCAGTGGTTGGAGATTCCTTAACCGCGAAAACTTTAAAATTCAAATTTTCAAATTTTGAACGTAAAGTACATTTTTTCCATCACGAGATTAAAGCACAGACAAGTTTTGAATTATTGACTGTATCACCATGATTCCAAAAATACACTACACAACATAGCATTGGCTAACAATAAAACAATATGTAATAAAATAAAGTCATGACAAGGAACATAGCCGAAAATGGCGCCGATTCCCATTAACCAACGCGCGGTCTCTCGAATGTAACATGGTCCAATGATACTCCCCAGCTGGGACCGCCCGGAATAGCAGCTCTAGTGCAAGCACCAGAGCCGCTAAAATGAGCCATATAAGGGGAAATGTTTTTTAGGCACATGGCCCCTCTTCTTTCTCCAAATTTAAAATGGACGTAATTCTGCCAAACGGAAAAATGTGCGTTAAGAGATGTGCCCTGAGACCCATAAGAATGTCTGAATAACAAGGCTCACGTCATAATGCACATAGTTCCGTTTGGCAGAAATACGTCCGAATGTCTGAGTAGGTCGCTGCTAACACACCTGAACCTAGATAAAGAATTTGTGCAAAATTATTTTACCTTTATTTGGATTGCATTTAGCAAAAAGGATCAAGCGCGGTTACAGTTTTTTCAAAATTGTGCAACTTCTCTTTTTTTCTTTCAAAAATACTTGATATAAGCACAGTATTAAAATGTACACAATTATTTTCTTTCTTCTACTATTAGGGCTAGTAACTCGTATGAGTGAAATTAAAAGACATTTTCTGTATGCACGGTTTAATTTTTAACTTATCTTTTGTATTTACAGTTTTCTTATGTCTTTATAAAAATTTGCCTATTTTTAAGTAACTAGGGAATTGTCTTTGTAGATAGTTAACCCTATTCTTAAGTTTAATCCAAGTTTTCATACTCCCATTTCCTTCATCTTCATTCATTTATCTCACCTAGCTATCTCTGAGTTATCGATGTTCTATATTTTTAAATTAAAAGTGCTAAATTTTTTTTGTACAAAGACGTGCTAATAAATATTCAAAAAAAAAAAAAATTCTTTGACGCGTATCAATCCTTTGGTCAAAAGTAAAAATATTTGCTATTCTGGGAGATTTTTAGTAGATACTAATGAGAGAAGCAACATTTTTACAACATTTTAGTCGCGCTGGTTCTTTGTTGCTAAAATGCGACCCGTTTCTTTCATAAAATTGATGTCATTTCTCTAATTCTTCGATTTATTCCAGGAGGTAATGCAGACCTGTTGGAAGGACTCGATGGAGTCAATCACTGGGATTATTTAATCGGCAAAAATACTGACAGCCCACGAAATGAACTCTTGGTTAATATACTCGAGGAAGTAGGTGACTGGGCGATCATCAAAGAAAAATGGAAATTAGTTCAAGGTAATTATCACCAACTGAAAGCATCTACAGCTAACTGGCATTCTCCGTAGCCAATTTTAATACTTAGTTGCATTTTAGATTTACACATCAATATGACGTCAGAGTATCATCAGAGTGGCTTCGCAGAGACAAACAACCAATGAAGATGTTCATGAAGCAGAGTGATGTCACAATAACGAGACTCACATTTGTCAGAGAATACAATTTGATAAGTATCACTCTCGCGGTGGATTACGTCATAAACAAAATTTTTCAAAGCGCGATATCTCGAATATTAAACGTAGAAGATTACTCTTTGAACAGATTTTATTACTTTTTGCTAATCTACAAGAATCAAGCATCAAAATACGATTCTGTTACCAGCGCAACCGATCCGTTGAGTTATACTTCCTCCTATTGATAAAACAGAATCATGAAGTTTTCTCAAATTTTGCAAAAACTTTTTCTTGCCGATTTTTCTAAAATTGTTGTTGATACTTCTCACGCTACGACGGTTCCGAGCAACCGCTCATCGTCGGGTGTTTAAAAAATTTTTAAAAACTAAAATTATGATGCGCTTTCGCGATCGCGAGTAGTTCGGTATCCGCGTCCGCGTTCGCATTCGTGATGTGACTGATGACAATGGCGATGTTGCATGTGTGAGGAATTTGCGATTTGACTATTGTTTCTTAGTTTAAAGTTCGCGAAAAACACGATGTGGCCACTGGTTTTCTCTGAAAGTAACTCCCAAGCTCAAAAAAAGCTCTCAAGTTGAGGCCCAAATGGAGGCGATATCCCACGCTATCCTGAGAGTCCACCTCTACATCAAGACAAACTCTCCATGCAAAGATAGGGAGCAAATACATTGGCAGTGATGCCGTGTTTTCAGTTTTGGAGTCCCCAAATAAAGTGGCAGCCCTGTCAATGTATTTGTTCCCTATCTTTGCATGGAGAGTTTGCCTTGATGTAGAGGTGGACTGTCAGGATAGCGTGGGATATCCCCTTCATTTTGGCCTCAACTTGAGAGCTTTTTTTTAGCTTGGGAGATGATTTCAAAGAAAAACCAGTGGCACCATCGTGTTTCTCACAAACTTTTACATAAGAACCAACAATCAAATCACATATTCTTCATGAATTGAAGAAAGAAGACGATTGAAAGAATTTGATGAAGTATGACCGATAAAGTTAACAAAAGAAGTGATAGTTTCCTCTCAAATTTTCAGTCAATGCTACTCAGCGGCGTAATATCACACAGCTGTACTTCGGCGAGAGCGGTCGAAACGGTGAGAAATACTCAATGGATCTCGTGACGACCAGCCGAGTATCCCAGATCCTACGGCGGAATCAGCCCTCGGATAATTTACGGGAGGAATACACGGAACGCCGTGCCACCTTGGATATGACGTCAGCATGCGCAGAACGTATCGCAGCAGCCGCTTCGAGCTCCACCGATCCCTTCATCCCTCCTGATCGGTGTCATAAAGCACCCTGCCTTTTCAACATCCACATGGACCCGTGCGAGTTCCATGACGTGGCTGAGCAACATCCATCGGTTGTCGATGCACTGCAGGAACTAGTCGAGAGCTACGCTTCGGAGGTGGTTCCGGTGCAGAACTATGGATTTGACCCGGCTTCGCACCCGAAGAATTGGGATGGTTGGTGGGCTCCTTGGCTCGACGGGTCGGAGGGCAGGGGCATGTCTTAGTTCCCAGACACGAATAACTCAGAACAAATCTGCCGTGATAGCGAAGAGACCAGTACGTAGGTGCAAAAATGCAGTTTTGAGAAAACGGGCTCTGGAGCTTCTGACCAAAATATTTAATTGAAAAATGCCTTCCGTTCTTTGTCAAATTGTCACTAATCACCCGAAAGACTCCTAGAAATCGTTTGGATGATTAAAAATCGACTGATTTTATTCCAATTACATACAAAGGGTATTTTTCATTTGGATCATAGGCTATTGTTAAGCAAGGCAGCCGTAAGTGATATCTACTGCAGGGCGCCGGGTTAAGGGGGTGGCCACATGGACCGCGGCCCATGGCGGCAAAAATTTAGAGGGCGGCAAATTTTGCAATCTTTTTGAATGTATAGGTATCAAAAAATGAGAGAAAACAATCGGATTCAGAAAATAAATTACAAACGAGAAAAGGCGAAAAAAACCCTCATTTCCTGAGAGTAAAAGCGTAGTAATTTCTAATTGTGACGTCTTTCGGTGATACAAGAGACAACACCTTTAATTAGTCAAGTTAAGAGAGAAACCAAATACGCCATTTGACCTGGAACGGAGCGGTGCGGCGGTCGGCATGAAACACATAGCGCCTAAAAGACTGCATGAATACTTCACGCATTGCGTCAAACAGTGTGGTCATTAGCGGTCGGCGTGAAACGCATAGCGCCTACAAGACTGCATGAATACTTCACGCATTGCGTCAAACACACTGCGGTCAGCAGCAGTCGGCTTGAAATGCATAGTGCCTACAAGACTACATGAATACTTCACGCATTGCGTCAACACAGTGCGTTCGGCGCGGCGGTGGAAGTTAAAATTTTTAACCACATTTATGTTTGTTCTTTCATAATGCATGCTTTCGTGGTTGTGTTTTGGGCTCACAACAAACACATTTTAGGTTAGAAATTGGCAGGAGGCAGCACTGTACTTGAAAGCACTGGGGCTCATGTCTTAATGCAAATAGTTCCGTTTGGCAGAAATACGTCCATATATGTCTCGTTTTCATACAATTCAGATAAATTATGCTGTTTTAGCTATTTCAGTGATTTCATCTAAAAGAGATTAGACGAATTTTGAAGGAAACTCGATTTAAAAAATTTTGACACTTACTGCTCTTTTCGCTATCACGGCAGAAATCTTCATCCTGAAATGCAGTGTGTATAATCTAAGAGCCGTATTTATGCTTTGCCCAGTTGGCAAAATTTCCCAGATTGCGGTCTGAGAAAATTGTTTGCTCAGTCCGCGGACGTGGTGACTCAAATAACCATTATCAAACGCTCCATTATCAACAGCTCACTAAAAAAATATGAGTTGCATGTGGACGTATTTCTGCCAAGCGAAAGCATTGACGAAAAGAAACAATGGTAATGTGGGCGTGATTTCCTTTGGAGAAATGAAAAAGCGTGATTTTACATTCCGGCAAATGGAACAATTGGACTGCATTTTGCAATTAGGAACTATAAATTCCTGCTCGGCTTAAAAACAACGTATGAGCTGTTAGTTTCCCTATGCACTTAAGTGTTTTTTTCAGATGAGCCAGAATTTATAGTTCCAAATTGCAAAATGCAGTCCAATTTGCCAGATGAACGCTACACTCATGAGCCGTGGGAATGGCATAAGTGCGTTGTTAACAGGGCTCATGAGTTAAAGCCGAGCAAGAGCGAAAACGAAGACGACTTCGTTGCCGCTGACGTCACTGGCGCTTTATAATTACCATTCATTCTTAAAGTTCTCAATTAAAAAGCACGCCCCTTAAGTTACACCTGCCTCTGGCTCCGTTTGGTGGAAATACGTCCGTGTATGATAATTGACTACCTCATATGAACGTATAATTTATATTATTTTATTCAACATTATATTATATTAGTTTATTCAACAAACAGGTAAAATATATTGTCTCTGATCAGGATGTGTACATATAATTAAGTCCAAAGACTTGATGGACGAATGCATCTTTCAACACACCTGATAAACTTGGACGCAGTATTTCCTTTCAAAACGTCGATCACCAGCTCCACAGCAAACACAATGCTGCTTGAAAACCAGCCGATCACAAGACTGACAAATGCTGGCTGCAGGTTTTGCATTGTAAACTTAGTTGGAGAACCAGCCTCATCATCATCCTGTTTAAAGGTAGTATTAAACCAATCCTCATGAGTGTACATGGTATGAGAAACGAGTTTCAAATGAAGGCCCATCTCAATGTATGCGGCAATCCTCCTGATGACAATTTCGGAAAGGTAAGAATTTCTCTTGATCTGAAGGGTAAGCGGGTAAGTAAGGATGCATTCTCTGAGCAGGTGTAACTCCCTCACTATTCCAGTGCGAAGTGATACCTCTCCCGCGTGGATATTACCACCGAACTTGTTTAAATTTACAACCGTCAGTTCAAAGACGTCCGACTCCAACACTGAGGTTAAACTAGATCGAAGTTCCGTAATTTTTCTGGCGAATGGATTAGTTTCATCGAGGCTCGAGGTGAAAAAAGTTTTGTTGAAATCAAGCATATCCGAATAAAACCTCTCTAGCATATCCTTATCATAGTAATATCTCTCTGATAGTTTATCCCTGAGGAACTCGTAAAGAGGGTGATCCTGGAGAAAACTTTCAGATGCTTCCAAGTCTGGTGTCTGTATTAAAAAGGCCGAGTTTGCCAAATCTTCTAAAGTATCTAACTCGGGATACCGAAGTTGTTTGGCTAGCAGAGTCGTCATTTTGCTTTGAAACAACGTGACAATGATCAGGATGAAGAAAGAAACTAACAAGAATAAAATCTTGCCAGTCATCAGCCGCCCCAGGAGTAGCCTTGATGAACTCCCAGCTATCAAGTATTGGTAAAGATAAAGGGCCACCGATGTATGCCTGAAAACGCGCTGCTCTTGGTCCGAGTAAAGTCGATGGAATAGTGTGCATTGTGATCGATAAAATGCGTAGAAAGCTCCAAAGAGTAGTGAAACTGCTGTCACGATGACTACCCAGGTTTGAAATGAAAAGCACTTGAAGGGCAAGAAGGACTGCGGTACGAGACCGCTGTGCGGGGCGGCAAAACAGTACGAACAGGACCCTACGGCAGCCGAAGATTCAAACGTGGAGAAGTCTTCTCTTGGAGCAAGGCTCCCGTCGAAGATGAGCATATCGAAATCCGTCCTGTGAGCGTCTTCGAAGTGGTCAATAAGAACGTCTCTCCAACGCGGGTACACTATGAGTTCACTCCGAAATTCTTCTTCCAAGTCACCTACGACTTCGAAAAGGACGCTTGGCGAACTGGTAGATAAGTCCCTACTTTGGACTAGCACTTCTTCTTTCTGGACGAATCCGATACTGAGAACAATTCCTCGCAAATTTGGAACGAAAGTAAAATAAGCATTATCAGTTGCGTCGATTTCTTGAATGCTATGCATGAACGGGTCGTTCGCGTAGCAAAAGCGTCGCAAACAAATGATAGTGCGGAATCCCCTGAAAAAGCGCCAGAAAAATCCGAACAGAAACTTTAATCGGCGATTGCCAGAGCTCGTATTCATAGAGTAGGCGTCTCTTCCATCGATACGATTGGGCAACATGAATATGATGTAGTTGTCGGAGTTCCAAACGCTGTTCGCATAAAGACCTTTGGTATGCTTGCAAAGTGGGTCGGATAAATGAGAGTCACCAGTGAGGTAGGCTTGGCTGATGTCCAACTCAAAATCGCATGTTTTGTTATTATCTATAGATGTAGATTCGTACAACTCATTCCGGATGCAATAACGTTTCAATCTCGGCGATTTTGGAATTGCTGGGTCAAATTTTTTCCCCGCGTTTGACGAGGAGTCCATGATCAAACTCGGAATTTCGTCGAGATCGTTAACGAAAATAATTAAATTCTTCGGTCGGCTACCGACGATTAGATGTTCCAACAACCTGTGGTGGGTGACAAAAAATGCCCAGATCATATTTTGAAACAAACTGCGAATGAATTTGGGAACTGGAAAGTTGGGGTTGATACTAAGCACGTAAAAGAGATCCTTTTTTGACAGAGCGGCAGTCTTTTTGCATAGTGTAACTGCAATCGAGGTGAGGTCTTCTCCTTCCTCACTAGCAGAAATTTGCAGTGATTCAACCACATAAAACATTGAAATAATCAGTAAAAACATTGATGAAAGCTGTCTATAACTTCGACTCATTTTCAAGAGGAACTGTTCAACTATAATAAAGAATGGGGATCTTGTATGACTCGGGTTTGTTATTGACTCATAGTGGCTTTCCCCAGATGGTCTCCTCTACTGAATATTCTTGTCGTCCAAATACTGTTCTCATTAAATCATGTATAGCTCCTTCCTCAGTGTAAGATAAATTAATGGTCAAAACATTCTCTTAGAAATCTATGCCATCTAAAATACACTTTGGAGGAAAAAGAGATTGCACTGCATCTTTACTATCAGTGTAGAAGAGGAAAGCCCGTACGGAATTGTCTTGTGGGTGGCCGGAGTTGCTATTAACTAATTCAAACTTTAAGAAAATAATCTAACGACAGTACAATATGCACTGCACTTTTAAATTTGAATATCATCCTTCAAAAAGCATTTAAATATCTGCTTGTGGTATACAAACCCGCTTACTCCTTCAGTTTTGAAAGCAAAAACTAGTGAAAAAGTCGGAAATCGGATTGACTAATTTCGTCGTTTTAAAAGAAGCGTTTAACAGTTGCTAGTGCTAAGACGACACTGACACAGTGCATATTATTTCTCATACGCTAAGAATAAGTCTGAAAATAATAATAACAAACAACGGAACCAATTTACTTATGGTAAATCGAAAATATTTACCTACCTCGAAGCGAAAGAGGGCAAGTAACATAGATTTGCGCCTTGTTTTCCACGTCAATCTGGGTCAATTGTATTAGAAATGCATTTCAATAGGTAGCATACCTACATAATTCTTGAAGGGAGCTTGAGGACTATAATATTGAATATTTTCAAACTATCAATAAACACGCTCACCCATTACCCTTTAATTTGAGAAGTAAGAATTGATAAGTATGCTGGGAGCGGATCAATCTACTCTCGAAATTATTTTGTAGCTTCGGGCTGGACATTGCACGTGCAGATAAAAACTAAGGGATAGGCAATCTCCACAACATTTCAATGCAGTTAGTCTATATTTAAGGTTTAAAGACACTTCCATTATCAGTCTCGTAAAAAGACACTTTTTGCTTGAGCAAAAAACTGAGAGACCCATTTCCAGGGCCGGATTAAGGGGTTGGCCGCATGGGCCGTGGCCCGTGGCGGCAAATTTGGCAATTTTTTTTAATGTAGGTATAAAAGAATCGGATTCAGAAAAAAAAATTATCAATGAGAAAAGGGGACAAAATTTCTATTTCCTGAAGTAAAGTAATTTCTAATTTTGTAGTTTTTCTGTGATACAAGAGACAGCATCTTTAATTAGTCGAGTTAAAGAGAGGAACTAAACACGCAATTTTTCCTGGAGCTTAGAGCAGAGAGGAATGATAACGAGGACTTGAGATAAAAAGGACAATCCCTCGGCGCGGCGGTCGGCATGTAACACATATTAGCGCCTACAAGACTGCATGAATACTTCACCCATTGCGCCAAACACATTGCGGTCAGGAGCGGTGGGCGTGAAACGCATAGCGCCTACAAGACTGCAGGAATACTTCACGCATTGCGCCAAACACAGTGCAATCAGCGCGGCGCAGCGGCGGAAGTTAAAATTATTATACCGCATTTATGTTTTTTCTATCTTAATTTTTTGGTTTATTTCTTATAAATGGAGAAGCAAAGTTCCGTGAACTTTTGCTAGTAGTGTTGACAGGGCTTTCGCGAAAAAATGTATTCAACACGAGTAGGTAAACACGTCATATGCACCCCTCCCACCCTCCGGCACGTTCACTTGATGGTTTTCATAGATATTTTTCAAAATAAATGAGTAGGGAGCGGCAAAATACAGGCGGCCCATAGGCGACAAGTAGGTAAATCCGGCCCTGCCCATTTCAAAACCATTTTTTCATTAAATGATGCATTTAAACGAAAGAAAGGTGGGAGATCCGGCCAGCCTTACGTAATTATTTAGGGTGGTAGGGGGTCCAGGCTAGTCTTACGAGTGCCGTACGGGGGGAGGGGGTCTAAAAATCAGGAATAGTGTCTTACGTAATTTGCGGACGGTCCAAACAGAGACCCTTTTGGAGCTTGGAAAAATTTGGACGTTACACCAACAGCGAAGAATTAAAACAAACACACCAGTAAGCAAACAGTTTACATCAGTAGATAAGACAAATAAGACGCCGAATTTAGTCTTTATTAGCGACAAATAATCTACCAGAAAAAAGTCCTCCTTTGTGCCGATGGAATGTAGACTCCTTAAAATTTCGTCTTAATCATGAATCATCCTGTATATACAGCGGTCAGCCAGAGATGAGGGCATAGCCCATTAAAGGGGCTCTGTTAACTCGAAGTGATAAAATAAAGTGGGGGGAGAGAGAGAGGGAGAGAGATTAGAGAGCTATGTGCTGAGGCCGATGATACTAAACAATGGTTAAAGAATGATATGATGTTGAAAAAGACCGATGGCGACATGGTCATAGGGGTGAACGAAGACTGCGCGTCTGGGATAACACATGCAGGTGGTTTTATATGTATGTACGAATGATTATTTGCAAATTTTCTGCAAGTTCGTGGGTACTTGCGTGTGAAGACAGTTTCTCCCGGTTTTCACCAGTGACACTCGTATGGGTTATGAAGATCACCAAAACTGCCAGTCTCACAAATTGGCGTGTAGTAGCGAACGTTTGGTTTAATATTGGATGTGTACGCCTTCGAGTGTGATTAGTGCTGTTAGGGGACATCGTTAGAATATGTCAATTTGAGGCCGTCCACAAATTACGTAAGCCGCTTTTTTCGATTTTTATACCCCCCTCCCCCCGTAAGGCACTCGTAAGGCTAGCCTGGACCCCCCCCCCCTAAATAATTACGTAAGGCTGGCCACATCTCCCGCCGTTCCATCGTTTGAACGCATAATTCAATGAAAAATTGGTATTGAAATAAATCGGTATTGTCTTAATATTAATAATCGCTGGTAGGAGATCATAAAGAATAACAGTTGCACCGAAAAAATAACCAGTGTTCTATTCAAAAAGTCAAGAAAAAATTTCATTTTAACAAAAAAACATTAAACATCTAAAAAAACGAAATTTGGACAAGCCAGTCTTTAAATTAACGAAATTTGGAAGTAATAAAATCTAAAAAAATACAATTTTGACGAACAAACACGGCTTACGTAAGGCAGCGCTTGATCCCCCCCTCTCCCCGTAAGGCACCTCTTGACCCCCTCTCCCCTAAGTGCCTTACGTAGTTTGTGGATGGCCCCTTTTTTCACAAACTGAATGATAAAAATTTTGAACTGATTTTACAAAATTAGAGTTAAAAAAATGAGGGGCGTGAGGTATAAGTGTGTTTGCTTTTTCCATAGAGTACGTTGAGTCGTAATGTGAATGGGAGAGCTGGCGCCATGTTCTGGTTGACGAGTTCCGAGCCCGATGCGCGTTGATCTTAGGTCACTTTTTCGATACATTTTCGATCCAAAATGGCGGTGTGGAATATTTAGTAATTCCTATCCTCTCTGTTTACATTGTATGGCCAGGTCCTGTGTATCGAGAATAATCGAATATTTATCGAAAAAGTGACCCGGCGTGACACAGGAGTCTAGTCTCGGAATTCGGGACCTGGAGAATGCTGAAAAGTGGCGCCAGCTCTCCCACTTACATTAAGACTCTACATATGTACTCTATGGCCTTTTCCTACGTCCTTGATTCGGCGGGAAGAATTGGAACTTTACGTTACCTACCGAGTGCCGATGCAGTACGTGATGGTTGGCGTAGCAGTGATGTGTGTAAAAAAAAAAAAAAAGTTTGCTGCAATTTTTTGACCAATTTTGGAAGCTTTACAGCTTACTGTAAAAAGCTAAGAGTATAGCGAAAGAAAGGGTTATTTTATAATTTTCTCAATTTTTTCCTTTATTTAAAGTTTGAAGGGTATAGAATGGGGCATTCCAAATTCTCTTTTGATTCCTTTTTTTCTAACACAATTTCTACCCATCTGCATTCTCTGCCAGTCGAGCCAGAATATCAAGAAAGTGAAAGTTAGGCTGGCTATTTTTAGTTATGTCATGGATAAGCAAAAAATAAAATAACGTCAAAAGAAAAATGTCGTCAGCTCAAAAGAGATAGTTTTCAAAAATGAAAGATAACTGTCCAAAATTAAATTTTTATCGTGCCACTCAGATTTGAAGTTTGACAGCACATCCGTTACACAATGCTGAAATGGGTATCTATTATTTCACTGTCATAAATTTTGGCTGAGCTCTTCAAATAAGAAGCGATCTCAACTTATGATTAACTATATAATACCCTAATCCCGTACAACTTTTACTTGAAACAGTGCAGTGCAGTGCAGTGCTCCGGCATTAACTCAATTATCCACTAATAATGTATGTTACAAACATGTTTCACGATGGTATTTTCAACATATTTTTTTTCATCACTCATTATTTGTGTCTCTCTGAAATTGCCTCCGGAGTTCCGACTCAACCCCATATAATTTTCATGGTCGCAGACGATATGGTAAGATAGTTTCAGAATTGAATTTTTGCTTTTAAAAGTTTAATATTTTCAATGTAGATAATTATTGATAGAGTGGGTCGAATGTTCGAAATTGGAGTTTCTGACGGAAGACAGCAGGCTGATAATTGAAATCTACAGATTCAGTGATACACAAAGAAGACAAAGAGATAATTTGAGCAATTTTATTTGTTATGAAACGGGTGGCTCTCATAGATTAAGAAGGAAAATGATGGATACTGATTATAGGGTCTCTCGTGAGTTACCATTAATTGGTCTATACTTACTTCCTTTGTCCACTGCCACCAAAAACTTTCACCGAGAAGATTTTACTTTCTTGTCTCTTGATCTTCTTCATCTGTCACTTAGTCTATTAATTTCAATGATCAGCCCAATGGATCGAAACTGTGTCCCCCTGTCATATAGCACAAGGGCTTTTAAAAAACTTACTCGTAATTTCTCAAAAAACCAACTATCAACTAACCCTAGTTCGATAGGACATTAATAGAGAGTCAATTGAAATTCCTTTCCTTTTCCTTGGATAGACATGAATGTAAAAAGACATGTAAGTAAAAATAGTACATACCATGACAACTCAGCAATTATCCCTGGTGTAATTTAAGCGCATTGCACCCTCTTTTATGTAGTGAGGACATGCACGATAAAAATTCTTGACGAGATATGAGATGAAAGAGCAACGATTCTTTGAGTACAGATATTCAAAGATGGATTAGCCTGAACGCTTTGTATATTAAATACGTTCCTAGGAAATCAAACAGCGAAATTCATTTTATATTCCTTTACAATACACAATAACGCTACTTCTAGGCTACAGTGAAAAGTGACAAAAAAATTAAAATTTTAAGAAGATTGACAATGGGACTTCGGTCCAAAATTTATTTGAAATGTGCTGGTAACCAGCAGGAAATTCGTTAAATTTTCAGTTTGAAATGCCGGACAGTTTCCAAGGGAAAAAATAATTGATTCGATTGGAAACATAGCAACTATGAAATAAAGTTACATTCTCTTGTCCGGGGAATGAAGAATTGCGGTAACCCAGGCTCCTCCGCACCTACGTTACCAATGTCACTCGTCATTTGTCAATGAACGCTTCTGAAAAAATTTTCACACGTATCACATCAAATGCCAACTCATTTGTTTGCGCGGAAGCGTTAAAAAAGTCCAGTTAGTGATGTATGGCGTTGAGAAGAATGTCTTTAAATGTTTCTTCTTAAGTTTCCTTTTTATACTCGGGCATTTACCCTGCCAAACAACCTTCCCAAACATATAGTCTCTGCTTTGTGTGCCCGTTTGGTTTTTTGAACGGATACTATATTAACTACCTCGTTATTAAAAAGATATCGTACCAAATTTTCGACGAAGATAAAGTTTTTCTTTTCCCATTTTCTCCAGTTTCAAGGACAATAATTTACGCAAACCGCTCTTTCATTTCACCACCTCAAAAACAATTTTAGACATTTTAGCTATGACTATTCCCCACCATGTTAACGGAAAAGTGAAATCAAAAACCGCGTAATTGCAATTTAAAGAAAACACTGTGAACATTGGATGACCCGCAGAGAAGTTATTGAGGAACAAAAGTTCAGCTTAAGGATTTACGCCTGATAATAACTAATTAATTTCGGGGTGAGCTTTTTGCCCGGAAAGATCTTTCAAATTGAGTTCGATTTCTCAAACCGGTTGTCCAAACCCTTCAGTCACGAGTTATCACTCTGTGCAAAATTGAGGGATTACTTTCCAAAGTAACTTTTACACAATTAGTGAAATACTAGTGCAGGGTCTTTAAAATATATATGTCTGATTGGAATATTTCTTAATTATCTTTCTACAGGGCTGGAACGATGCCAGTTTCCGAGGAGCCAACCAAATTCCGACACCGAACATTGACGCTATCGCCTATAACGGTATCGTTTTGGATCGACATTACACTTTACCAAGCTGCTCACCATCGAGAGCAGCTTTGCTTACTGGAAAATATCCCATTAGAATGGGTACGTGAGAAGAGAGCAGTAAAGCTCGAATTTTTAAAATCAAGTTTCCGTCAAATTTTACGAATCTGGTTAAAATGAATTGACTCAGTCAGCTGAGACAGCAAAATTTGTTTTTTAAATGGAATATAATAAAATTAATATTAAAGGAAGTTTGATATTAAAAACCATTAACTAAGTTTTTTGTGTGTCCAAAACATAGCAATGTAATCATGCAGAAATAAGCGCCGTATACTATTGTCTTGAGTAACATGAAATGAATACCTTTACTTACCCTTACTTGTGATATCGGAAATGATATTTTTCGATTTTTAATCTCCCGGGCGATTTTAAAGAAAAATGTATAGTAATTTTTAAGAATCAATTACCTATACTCCTTCCTAGTTTTTAAAAACCACCCGTTTTAATCAATAGGATCGCTCTATTCGTCCTAAATGTCCATACATATAATTTGCCCATCGCTTTGTCACACAACATCAAAACTCAGCCTGTAGGTGTGAATATCAGGGCTCAATATGTTATAAACTTCCATTTGGTCTTTTCGAATCATAATATTGAATGTCTATCATAAACGATCTGGGAGACTTTATGGCGAGAGTAGATAAGGAGCAAAAATTCACATAGAAAATATGGGACATGGGGCGAATCTATTTGTCGAACCGGGTGATTATTAACACTTGACAAAGGAGTCAAATATTAGACTAACTGAACTGCATCCTACGAGAAACCTTATAGGTCCATTTCCTGAAAATTTATTTTTTATTACGTTGTAGCCAAACCAATTAAAATTATTCAACAAATGAGATTGGAGGAGACTGCTGGGCAAATGTCACAAAAACTTACCTTTATTTGGACCGCGTTTAGTAGAAAGGAACCAAGCCGCATTAGCTTTTGTCAATTTGAACTGGGCAATGGACCACTAGACAAGGTACGAATTTAAGCAATCTGATACATGCTTCCTAACTAGAATTTCACGTAGAACACGATTCGCGCAACGAAAATTACTGAAACCAGCTCCTGATGAAGATATCAACCTTTGTATTTCACATTGGTTACGCGTATTTTGAGCTGCCCGCTCACAAGAAACTCAAAGCTCTACGTGAGTCAAATCGCGCACCACAACAGTTTCAGCTAGCCTCTCAATCGATCACTGTTCATAACCCACCATGTGTTGTTCAAATTATAAGCAATTTGCCATATCTGAGCCCAAGCGTCAAAATTGAGGTTGCCAGATTTTTATATCGCAAAGACTGTCATGATAATGTTCAACGCGCGATGTGAATCACGTAGACCATTGAGTTTTAATGAGCGGGTGGTTTGAATTCACGCATCAGGAATCATTTAATATGATTGTAAGGAGTTGATTTCGGTAATTTTTGTTGTGCGCATCGTGTTTTACGTGAAATTTTGGTTAAGAAACATATATCAAAATGCTTAAATTCGTACCTTGTCTAGTGGTCCATTCCAATTTTTTACAAGAGAGCGTTTATGCGAATTCTCTTGAAAATTTTACGGAATTTGCATCGTACCACGCAGAATATTCACTGACATTTGCGCAAAAATCCGCACAACCGTTTTTATGTAAAAAATTAAATTGCCAAATGAAATTCGGCAACAGCTGATGTGGCTTGGTTCCTTTTTGTTGAACGCGGTCCATTTTTGCACTCACTGCACGGAGAAAAAATTTCGTGCGTGGGGCCCGAAGTTGAGGTCGAATGGATCTCCGAAGTCTTCGGATATCGCACATCCGAAAACTTGAGATCCGGCTGCCGCAGTTCAAGTCAAACATCTGAAGCACTTCAGTATACACCGAAGTACTTGAGACGTGTGAACCGAACCCTTCCGTAAGTACCGGAGTACTTCAGATGTTTGGCCCGAACTGCGGCAGCTGAACCTCAAGTTTCCGGATGCGCGATCCGAAAACTTCAGAGATCCATACGACCTCAACTTCGGGTCTGAAGCACGAAATTTTTTTCTCCGTGTGCTCTCCTCCGTACTACGGCAGAGTGATAAGCAGAATTGTAAAGTAAAGATTTTACAAATTGCAATCAGGTAGCTTCCAACAGGAAGAGTTGTGTAGTTTCTCACCATGACCTGTATCTAATAACCACTTTTGCAGGTATGCAAGGCCATCCACTCCTAGCTGGGCACGCCGATGGAATACCACTCGAAGAAAAATTGCTACCGGAGGTATGATATTTCAATTCATTGTAGAATCCATTCATATCAATTAATAGGGATCCAGTAAACCATTTTCATGTAGCATTTATAACATTACAAACCCTCGGCGCGCTGCGAGCCTTCAAAGGTCGTTTCGCGGCCATTGAAATCACCCGTTGGTAGTTAATGAGCGAATACTTTTAATTAAATAACAAAACGATATTTCAAAGAAAAAGAGCCTTGCACAAAAAGGGCTAAAATTCGCCCGTTTTCGGGCCCTCGAAATTGGGGTCGGTGTGAGGTATTTTTTCATCTATAGGGTGACCCTTTACACATAATAAAATTTCAGATTGAGTATACGCACCGTTTTTGAAATATGGGGGGG